ATCATATATGTCGTTTAGAGCGAGAAAAAGAGGAAGACTTGTGATGCTGTTGAAAGAGGTAGTGTTGTTGTTGTTGTTGTTGATGGTAGTGGTGTTGGTGTTGGTGTTGGTATTGGTTTGTTGCTGTTGTTGTTGTTGTTTTTGTTGTTGTTTTTGTTGTTGTTGCTGTTGGTGGTGGTGCTGGTTAGGTTGATGCAATTGTTGTTGTTGTTGTTGTTATTGTTATTGTTGTTGTGTTGCTGTTGTGTTGTTGTTGTTGTTGTTGTTGTTTAAACCATACATCAGTAGTGTGGCGTGGTAATTTGATTCTGTATACTTATGAATGAATGCAGTCGGTGGGCCTCTGATTTGATCAGCTGTTCTTGCGGTGCAGTTTTGATTTGATCGTGCCGTGCTCCCTTGGACGTACCTGGAGATGTGCCACTGGTACGACACACCTCTCTTCCCTCCTTTCTCTTGTTTACCTTCTGTTCAGTTCTCTCATACCGGTTGACAAAACTAATTGTGCAGTCCAGCAACAACGAAAATAGTCGCTGGAAACTCTATCTTTGTGGGTGGTTAGTGGATGCTTCCACGTGGGTTGTTCCTTTTCTCCTTCAAAACATCTATCGCCTATGTCTCTCCTCCTTCTTCTTTTCTTTGTATGTTACTCTTTGGTAATCTCTCTACCAATCTTCGGCACTTATGTGGCCTGAGTGCTGCAAGCGTAGTCAAACTATTGCAAAAACTAAACTAAAGCCTACCCTTCGAAATGACCTCTGATGTGGCTTGCTCTGGGTTAAACTAATACTAACATACACCCCCCCCAAAAAAAAAAAAATAAGAAAGAAAAAAGACAACAAAGCAAAACAAAGCAAAACAAAGCAAAACAAAACAAGAACAACCTGTATCTTGAACTGTGTAAACATGGCGTCGTGGAGCTGACTTACTGTAGATTCAAGCTCAAATTGTCGGGACTTCGTGGTGTTATGACCAAAAAAAACAATCTAAGCCAAACTAGCGGGTGATTGAAGGGTGCCAGTAGTGGTCGGTCCTACTTCTTCTTTACTTTCATTCAGTCCTTATTGTTGTCTATCCTGCTTTTTCCCTTACGCTATTGTGTCGGTTTGCTTCTCTTCACTCCATCATAAGATGTAGGCTTACCCTCCTAAGTTATCTAAACTTTGTGAATGAGGTGTAAAATATTCACTGTCGGCCGCCGTATGTTTTCATTCTGCAAAATGTTGTTATTCGGCGGCATTATCAATGTTATCAAACGTGGCGTTAAATCCATACTCTTACGTCCAGTATTCTGAGTGTCATATGACATTACGCGAGAAAATATCTTGTAAGTGTACTTTTAAAAATTGAGTACACAACTATCTGTACTTTAAAAAATGAAGTAGACTCAGGGACTGTAGTTTCCCTTTCTAAAGACCTTTAATTTATCGCTGTGAGTCAGAGCCAAGACCGCAGTTCCCGCTAAGGTCAAGTGAAAAAACGTTCTTGTCCCACCTTGGAAAAAAGCAATCTTTTTGACGCGTGGAGCGAAGGCCGGCAGTGAAAGAAAGTCGACGTCTCGACCGTGTCGCGCTGGTTCTCCATTTTCTCTATAGGGAAAGCTTTTCTGAATGGTTTAAGGGGGTACTTAATAATAGTGTTAGAAGACGTTATGCGAAACTCCAGAGCAATTGCGAAAGATACGAGTCGTTTTTTGTGTTTTGTTTGTTTGATTTGGTTTTTGTTTTTAAATGCTTTTGCTAGTTCGAACTTTTCAATTTTAGATATTGATCTAATTATTCTAATGTGTTTCTTCACATGTTTTTTGTAGTAATCGAAAGTTGTTTACGGCAGGAAATTACAATGCGTTAATAGTTTCAGATACACATGTTTCTCTCAGCACTGACGTCACATAGAGGAGCATTCTTTTTAGGGGCGTTGTCGGTTAGAATCTTGAATACTCTTCAAGTGTTGAGCCCTTGGATGAGTGAGTTCAGGTACTGGAATCATTGGACCAAGGGTCTGAACATTCTCTCGAAGATTTGTTTATTTTGAAGAGCGACCTGTTGTTTAGAGACGCCGATAGTGTATCGATTGAAGGTGTAACGTTCGTGGGGCAGTGTGACGGTTGTGTGACAATGTAATGATGTTGTCGCATTGTATGGAAGGTGTGACGGTATCACTCTGGTAATACTTTGTTATTATTATATTATGTCATACGAAACTGGAAGTCGAACTGGAACGCTCAAAGACTTATGTGGCGCCCCCCCCCCCTCCGCGCTTACCTCCCAACCCACCCCCAACACCTTTTTCGAGACGGTAGACTGCTTTCACGTCGTTAGATCGAAGCCAGCACTTGCACAAACATCAGTGGTAAAAATATCCTATTAACGTGTCAATACGATTCACGAAACCTGCACCCTCTCCCTACCTATTCTGTGCGTTTCGTTGCCTGCCCTTAAGTAAGCACGTCCCGTGTCCCAGTCTTCGTGTGACTGCCTCTGAGCACGGAAGTCTGCTGCATGTAGTGGTTGAACTCCTGGTGCTGCTTCCATATCATGGATTTGTGTGTTGATGCTCCGTTACACAGTTCACTGGGCTATAGTAGAGTACTGGATCCGATTGCTCGGAACTTTTTTCCCTACGCTTCTTTTTATTTTCCCGCGTAATTTTGTGGCTGTATTTAAAAAAATTTTTTTGTCACGTTTGTATCCGAATTTTTAGGTGCATTGGTTTCACCTTTTCATTTTGTACTAGCAGAAACCGTAGTGTAAAATATTATTTTAAACTTGATTTTTGAGTTTGTGGTGTGTTTGTGTGTGTGTGTGTGTGTGTGTGTGTGTGTGTGTGTGTGTGTGTGTGTTTGTATGTGTGTACGTGTACATTTATATAATGTTACATATTATGATGGTGTATGGTATGCCGTTACTAGCTTCAGATATTGATGCTGGCTCATTCGTCCCCTCTCTGTGGCTATATCAATTTCTATAGGAGAATTTATACTGGCACAGTATATTTTAGTCCCC